TGTATATTGAGTGGAGGCCTTTGACCTCCAACAGCCTTCAGCCACATGTGGCTCTTTATATGTAAATTACTTATAATTGAGTCAGGTTAAAAATTCAGTTCTTCAGTTGCCACACTTCAAGCTCTCAATAGCCACATGTGACTAGTGGCTACTGTATTAGACAACACAGACAGAGAACATTCCCTTCATCACAGAAAGTTCTGTTGGACAGTGCTGCTGTAGACTTGGAGAGAATCATTTCAAAGGTACAGCACTGGGAAAGCCAGAAAGTAGTCTGGGGTTGAGGATTAACTGCATTGTGAGAGACACATGAAGACATCGGGTAGAAGACATCTGAGTCTGGGCAGAAAAGGAAGAGAGAGATGAGCAATAATTTAATGGGGAGGCTGGGGATGCAGGAATCCTCAGTGTCGTTACAGTGGAGAGAAGAGACGGAGTACAAGGCCCAGTTAGTGACAACATAGAATGGTATGAGTTTACCCACAATGAGAGCAGTGTGCACCTCCAGACTTTTTTCTTAGGACAAGAGCATTTTCAGCAGGCATTCCTACTTTATGAGAGTCACATTTGCCTGTCAAATGTTAAATGTGAGGAAGCTACTAAGTTTTGGTACATTTCTTCTGTATAAAACCCTAAATTTCACCTTAATACTTTCAGGCCCAACTTCGACGCTGTATGTCCAAGCAAGCAGAAGTGTTAATCAAAGGGAAGCAGCAGACAGAGGGCACTTTACACAGCTTGAAGAGACAAGTCGATGCGTTAGGGGAACTGGTCACCAGCACCTCTGCAGATTCCATGTCGTCGCCCAGTGTGTCTCAGCTGGAGTCTTCCCTCGCAGAGGACTGTCAGCTTGGACCAAGCCAGGTAAAAGGGAGCTCTTCACGAGGGGTCTGATCTATAGTTGGCAAGTACCCGAGAGCTTCAGGGTACATGATCTAGAGGGGACTCTGAAGGAAAACAATGCCACCTTCCAATCTCTGGGAAACTTACCTAAAAAAGACTTGTGTTTTTTGTTGTTTTTTTCATGATCCCTAGGCAAACTGGAATTAACTGAGGTCTTAGGAAATAGACAGACCTGGAGACTGGATGACCTGTCAGGGATGTACTTAATTCTGCTAGTATGTCCCCCACCTCTGGATTTCCTTATTCTTTCCTGGGTCATATAAAGAGTTTAGGCCTGTGAGGCCAGTTTGAGCCCTAGTTTAGTCTGTCTGTCCCCCTGTGTCCTGGGGAAGGGTGACTGACTGTGCCTACTATTATTCCTCAGCAAAAGTTTGAACACAGACCACTTAACCCCGGGTCTATTAAAAAAGCCCTGAATTTCACAAAGGTTTTCTGTGTGACTTAGATATGGTTAATCATTTAGGAGACACATGAAATATACTTATGGAGTGGTAAATAGTAACACAGTACTATTGTCAGAGACAGGTAATAGCTACCATTTTTGAGTGCCTACTTTGTAAATGCACTAAACACTTTACATATATTTTCTCATTTAGTCTTTATATCCTAGGAGGTAGGATTATCCTTTTATACAGATAAGGAAATTGTATAAAATGAAAAATGATGTCAAGATCACAGCAAAAGACAAAACCAGGATTTAGGGGCTAATCTGTCTTCAGCACAGAGCAGTATATGGCATGGGAGAGCCACAAGGAACATTCGAGGAAAATTGCCTGTCGCATAGGCACAAGCTCATTAGCAGCAGAGCCAAGATTTAAATATGTTTACATTAAAACCTTCTGTGGTTGGACCCAAGGCAGGTACAGGCCCAAACCATCATGGGCCTCGGGAAATGCCTTAGGAAGAGGGTGTCGGGTGGCTTTGGAGGCAACACAGCCCCCAGTAGTGGGAGATGAGTGCATAAGAGTTGGGGGCCAGGTTCAGTTATCAACTCATGGTGGCAGCCAGAAGAGTTCAGGTGCTAAATTCAGGAGAACAGAAGGGTTAGAGGCACAATGGGTAGAATTATTTTGGAGTCAGGGGTAGTAATCCAGGGCTCTCTGGATAATACAGTAGAGTTAGGGAGTACCTTCTGAGCCTAATATTTTATCTCCCTTCTTTACAGAGCTCCTTCCAACAAGTTCTACAAGGTCTGTCAAAATCACGAGAGAGTTACCGACATTGATGCCATTCCCAGCTTCCTGCTCACAGGGTACCTGTTAAATAGTTCTTTTAACCAGCACTTTCATGTGGAAGATCCTGAATTCTAGCTTATCATAATCTTAAGAAAAGTAACCTTTTTTTTTAATCCTCACCCGAGGACATTTTTTGGTATTTTGTTCAGATAGAGTGGGAAGGAGAGAGAAACATCGACGTGAAGGGGACACGACACATTGAGTGGTTGCCACCCACACGACCCGGGGACAAACTGCAACCGAGGTACATGCCCTTAGCGGGAACCGAACCAGGGCTCTCCGGACCACAGGCCGACGCTCTAACTGCTGAGCCAAACCGGCCAGGGCAAGAAAAGTAACCTTTTAACTTTCATCTTAAAACATCTTTTCTGAAGAGGTACTCAAGTATGCATTTTACCTATTAGCCATTATGGTATCACTTAGTTCTCCTAATTATTTAAGACCTGTTTTTACTATCGCAAGAATTCATCCTTTCTTACTTTGTCTTGCTGTAGGAAAGAAATGGCTCAGCCAGATGAGGAATAATCTTGCATAAGTATGAGGAAAGACCTTCTCTACTACCTCACTAACTTCATAGTTGGAATGCCACTTGGTTTTTTTCAAGATCCAGTGAATTCAGATGCTGAAACTCCACTGTAGCTTATGTCACTTGAACCATTAAGGCCAGGGTTTTTATAAATCTCATGTACATATGGGAATAGTTGTACAATTTCAGCATTTTTATTTTGTATCTTGGAAATGTGCTGTTATAAAACCAATGCTGACTGTAACTGCAAATTTGAATCTAAAAACTGTTAAAATCTGTAGCTACAAGGAAAAAATATACTTAGGCTCTTCTTCACTCAGTGTCAAGTTATTTTTGGGTTTTGCTTAAAATCTATTTTCATATGAAAATAAAAGGTAAAATAAATTTGGGGCTGTCGTCTGACTTTACATTTCATAGATCTACAATAAAGCTGCCATATTACCTTAATTCTAAGAAATAACAATCTTTCAAATGGTTTTCTATCTTTTGCCTAGAGGTTGAAGTATGTTGTACCTATCAAAGAATGTTTCATCTTTGGAAATACCTACTATAAAACTACTACATTTCAGGGGCTTTTCTTCAACCAAAACTATTCTTTGGTAGAAAAGTAGAGACTATGACCAGTGTAGATTAAATTGTGTTCAGACTTTAAATTTTTTGAATTACTGTAACTAATGGCTCAACTCCCATGGTCTGTGAATATATTATTTCTCTGAAAATAAGAATAGCAACTCTTGTCACAAATATGTGGCAACAGAATTATTCCCACGGGACAGGTGAAGTATGAAACTACATGTACTAGATTAGGTTTTTAAATATTCCCCAAGGAATCTTTTCTAGGCACCTAGACGGCTTCTGACCCAAAACATGTAGTATGCCGTATTACCATACAGAATAGCAGTGCAGTTAATTTTTCACCACTTACTGAGGTTTGTATTCCTAAAAAGTTGTTTGGCTACAATTGGACCATTAAGATATGGAATAAAAATATAGTTACAATGAAAATGACAAAATTTACTAGTACATAGGGTTCTAGAAGGCATCTAATTCCAAAACAAGAATTGACTTGGTAATGTCTTTTGTATTTATATTCTTCTGTTCAATTTTCTCGTGTCTTAGCAAAATGCTTAAAACCCAGGCCTATTCAGTTACTGAAATCCTTCAGGGACACTTTTTTTTTATCCTCACCCGAGGACATTTTTCCATTTTTTGTACAGATAGAGTGGGAGGGGGAGAGAGGAATAAGGAGAGAAACACTGACATGAAAAGGGACACATGGAGTGCCTGCCACCCACACGATCCATCCAGGGCTGGGGCCAAACTGCAACCGAGGTACACGCCCTTAGCGGGAACCGAACCTAGGTCTCTCTGGACTGCAGGCTGACGCTCTAACCACTGAGCAAACCGGCCAGGTCCTTCAGGGACACATTTTATTGTTCTATCCATATACTGAATGTGAGGGTAAAATCTTTCTAAACTGCCACGCGTACCCTTTCTATATTCCCAAACAGGAATGGAAAGGAATCATTAGGTCTTCTGTTTAAGGGTAATGAAATGAACCACACAACCACAAAAAAAAAAAAAAAAAATCATACTTAAAACAATGGATATGTAGGCAAAAGAGTTCTCCAAGAAGTGAGGTAATTTGTGTATGAAGCCAAATACCTGGTTCCAAAGACGTTTTTCCCTAAGAATCTTGACTACCTCTGACTAGTTTTATGTGAACATCATTAACTAAAAAAAAAAAAAAAAAATCAAAGTTATTGCATCGAACACTTTATTATCCATGGAAAATACTTGAACATGGGGAATGCCTAATGCATAAAGGGTACTAAAGCACCAATTACTAATCAGGAGGGCCTCCTCATAGGCTCAAGGGCAATGAGTAACCCAGAGAAGCAGGTGACCACGCTAGTAAACTCCCATGGATTAAAAATTAAAAGAATTTCACATTCTCTCCAAAGTGCACTTGCTGTGTCTGGCACACAAATGTTAAAGTATGACAATTTGCTCCTCTATTTTTGAGCACCCACATTTATTATAGGGGATTACACATGCACATGACAGAATCGCCCCGAGTACAGTCAAGGGAGAACACCATCAGGCACCAAAAGTGATCTCACACTGAAAAAGGTTAACTGAAAACACTGCAAGTGTGATCCAAATACAAGGATAAAAACTCAATTACTGAATGATGTGGATTTATGTGCTATGTATGTAGACTTCTCTATCAACAAGGAAGGATAATTCTGCAAAAACTGACAACTTATGTCAAATAATTGCTTACCTGAAGAAAATATTAAATCCTATTATAGTTCAGAAAATAATACAAACGATTTTAATTTAATCTAGATACAGGTACTTTATTTACAAATATTTAGATTAATAGCATTTTGTTACATCAAATGAAGAGTACAGCAGTCTGAATAGATCCTGTCACAAAAACAATAAGACCCACTGTAATTAACTTTGGAAATCAGGGTATTGCACCTAAACAAGCCCCAGTCTTTAGTTTGTGATTGCTACCATATATCCCCCCAATGGGTGGTTTGTTTGTTTTATCTTTGTAAATATATACACACACCGGCAGGTCATGGTCCCTGGGTGAGTCCCTTGTGGTGCAACAGTGTGAGCAAAATGGATCACTGTAAGTCTTTAACAGAATATACCAATCTACTTCAGGAATCTTCTTTTTAAAAAAGTTCAAGTCAAAAATAAAAATGAGTCCACAAATTAACCAAATCCTATTTTCTGCACATTCCAGTTTTGGCTTTTATTTAACATTGACTATACAATACTCTGGTACTACCACATGTTTACAACCCAGAAAGGTATATATTTTTTTACTTTAGTGTCTGTAAAGAGGGATTAAAAATGTGTATTTTAAACACAGCAGTTGAGCTGAGTGCATTTTATATAATATACTCAAGTTTACCTATCTTATACTTCAATAACTTCTGAATTCCCAGCCTGAACCATAAACTCAGAAATCAATCAACAGAAGTAGCAAACTTCGTAAAATATGTTTGTTGTCTAAAGAAATGATTGTTTCCCTTGCAATACTGTATTTTTAGTGGCCAAACCATCGCAGGCAAAGTAATAACTTACTTTGTATCAGCACAAACATTGAAACACTGTTAGAAACACTTTCTCTTTTACAAAACAATTTATGGCATTATGACCAAAAATAGTGCCTCATACTAAGAATACAAGGGATATCTTGAATTATTTTACTGTAGTGTTAAAAATGCACAATTTAAAATCCCTTAACAGCAGACCTATGGTTCTGGCTGTCTGGTTCAGAATCTTGCCATTCCAAGAAGATAAAGGTATAAAAGCTTAAAATGTGCAATAATAAACCCAGCCTTTTTTCTTTTTCTATACAGTAAGGCAAGAAATGCAGCCTGTAATGCAAAACGTTTACAAAAAGAGAAAAGCAGGTTAGCACATTATCAATTGCACAAGAACAGTTAAGAAAATCAGCAGGTAAGCCACAGTGCAAAGATGAACAGAATCTGCTAGTGTTAATCCTCTCACGCTAGGAGCTCTTTACAGCATAATGTCCCCAAATTGCCAGCACCAAAGGGTGGAGCCAGTATTACTTGTGAACTGCAGTTGTGTCTATTTCCTTGTGTAAAATGGAAGGGAGTAACATGGTCACATATAGGTCTTACTGTACAAACTGGTATTTTATACTGTTCCAATGCCAGTAATCAATTTATTTTCTTCATTAAAATAATATACACAGAATGTATTGTTAGTTCAGTTCCTTCAAATTTTATACATATTTACTTTCTGCTAAAGAGAAAAGGATAAAATGATGTAAAAAAAGATAAAGCTATTAATTAAGCACAAGAGAGAAGATAAATGGACAGTTTCCCTGTGCAAGGCTAAGACAGAAGCAAACCTTAAGAAAAATGCCACCCACACAACAGGGAATTTATCTGACAAAAACAAAAGCAGTTACAGAACCCCCTTTACTATCTTCAGAAGCCATTTCATAGCAATAAACTTCTTGGTTACAACAGACATACTTGAACAGTTAAAGATATGGGGAGAAAGGCTTCAGATATCAAATTAAACCGTACAGTGAGACAAAGCCTTGCCGAAAAGAGGGAGGGGTAAAAATCATGAAGTCCAGCGTCGGTGCTCAGTTTAAATCATGTATTGGTGACATACCTATCACGAGGACAATCAAGGCGGGGAGTGGGGGGGCAGGGGGAATCTAGATTTACCATGCAGGAGAGATTACTCTACTTGCCTTTGATAACCTGATTACATCTAGTTGTTTAGCAGTTTAGTATTGTGTTAAACTGTTTTTACAACAGAGTTTTTTTCTTTTTTCTTTCTTTTTTTTTTAATTAAACCCAGTAAGATGTACAGAAGACAATGAGGCAGTAAAAAGTACTGCTTCCAACAGACAGAGGTGAAAGGTCAAATGAGAGCCACAGCAAAGAGGTCACTAGCAGCCACAGCCTTCTCTCTGGGGTTGGGGTTCACTGGTTAGCCGGCCTCCCTGCGGGGCTGAAGGTTTGTGCTGTACACCAGACTCGGCAGCATTCAGATCCAGGCTTCCATCCTGGATGTTCTGATAGATTTTCTTGGCAGCCTCAAGGAAAGCATCTTCTACATTCTCTCCCCTAAGAGACGATTGACAACTTTATTCGAGAACCATAGTCTTCTACAAAAGATAAGACATTATACACTGACCTTTTGCTAACCTTTAGTCAACTGCCATGATGTCTTCAACTTAGCCACTGTCATCTAATAAGAGATTACCAGAAGACTGAGCTAAGAGAACAACATGGGAAAATATTTTCTGTGGAAAGCATATAAACACAAAACTGAGCTGTTTCTACGAACCCTATTTGGATAACTGTATGTGTTCTATCCATTAAAATGCTAATGTATTAATATACAGCAGTTAAGATAGGCCATTTCTGTAGTAACAGAATATTCCAAACAGAAATGAAATCTCCAAAGAGCAAACATGATTCCCAGATCTGAATAGTCTGATTAGCCAAACATGAACTGTACTGTTTTTTATCATGTAATGGTGACATGTTCATGCTTAGCCATGTTCACACTTCAGCTCAATTCTCTTAGGACTAACAGTGCAGGTGAACAAAAAGAGCTAGCTTCTTACCAATGCAAGGAATTTTTGGCTTAATAAATGAACTATGATGACAGTCCTGAGGTTCAATAATGGACGTGGGATAACAATGAGAAAATGTTCATTATGCATCTATAATTACTCTTAGACACTATTTCCTTAAGTCATGCTTTTTACCATGATCCGAAGTATTAAACAGGTTGACCAAGCTTGATTGAGTCCACAATGCCAAACTCAACCTCAGTTGTGAAAGTCAAACACTTGATGTGTTTACACAATTTCATTTATTAACATAGATTAGCAGTGGGCATAATCAAGGTATAATCTTTTAGGTAAAGTAACAAAAAATATTATTTTGAAATGTCAAATAGGAAGCAAAGGGTTGCTTCCTTTTCCTCATTATGCACTTACACAGTATACATTTTATGTACAGGAGACCCTTGAACAACTCAGGGATTAAGGGCACCGACGGACCTTCCCTGTAGTCAAAAATCTGCTCCGAACATGTGAATTCCCAGTAATGGAGTTGACCCTTTGATAAGGTGGGTTTCAACTCTGTGGGCCAAATGACTTATGCGGATCAATTTAAAAACTCCTCATATGACTGGATCCACGCAGCTCACACCCATGTTGTTCAAGGGTCAACTGTATATGTATATACATGCAGTTTCATATATATGGTTCTATTCTGAGAAATTTGAATGTAATTGAAAATGACCTAATTTAGCCATACTTACGTTTTTGCACTTGCTTCAAGGAACAATAAACCTAAAAATAAAATTCAGACTATGATTAGGACATTTCAAATGACCTCACAAGGGCCTTCTCTTTAGCAACATCTGAATAAAAGTTTCCCATCAAATTTCAATATTTTATGCAAGAATGAGTGTGAGATGGAAGGAACAACTGTACCCCCCCCCCACACACACAAATTCTCAAACACATTTTGCTATTTCCTCATCCTTAAAATTTGAGCAGTTTGCATTTAAAATTAATTGTCAAATAATATGCAGGATTAAAATCTTTAGAAATTCTCCTAAGTGTGACTTCCCAAACAGCCATTAAAAGTCTTATAAGAAACCCACCGTTTTCTTCAGCAAACTGTTTGGCTTCTTCATATGTAACATCTCTCTGTGCCTCCAAATCTGCTTTATTTCCTATGAGAATTATTACCTAGTGTGTGACCAAAAGAAAGACATCTTAAAACAAAAGCAACCACTTAAATCAACCATAAAAATTCTGAAATCCAAAAATCTTGATAGAAAAAAAAAACACGTGGGCCTAAAATGGAAAACAAGTACTAGCAATTATCTAGCAGACAGGACTACAGAATCATGAAGCTATTAGTATTAACAGGGATCTCAGCAATCTTCTAGTCCAGGGGTTCACAAACTTTCTGTAAAGGGCAGAGAGGATATATTTCAGGTTTCTGAGCCCCATGTTATGGTTTCTTTGTATATGTTTCCTTGCTTTTTCTTTCTTTCTTTTTTTTAACTGTTTAAAAGTGTAAACATTCTTAGCTTGCAAGCCATTCAAAAACAAAACAGCCCATGAGGCACACCTGATCCAGGCCAAAGACTATGATTTATCTGAAAAAGATTATTAAAGATCCAGACAAACTCCAGGGGATCTGTGAATGCACTTGAAATTAAGCACAAAATACTGTAAACAAGGATAGTCCCTAAAGAGAAAGTTTGTGGGACCCTCAAAAAGTTTAAAAACTACTAATTCAACTCCAGGCTACAGATAAAGAAAGTAAGGCTCAAATAAGACAAAGAGATTTGTCAAAGGTCAGAGGATATCAGAACCCAGGTAGAACACCCAAACTATCTTCAGACAAATACTGTTCTACCCGACACTATCCCTAGGCAGAACTAAGTTTGTAGCAACCAATAACAAATGTCTATGTATCCGTGGGGGGGGGGGGGGGGGGGGGGGGGCAGCTGGAGACACATATGCAGTGAGTTCCAATCTAAGGCAAAATATCACACAACTATATCCACTTTGGAATCATTTTACATACAAGTGAAGTTAGGCCAAAGTTAAAAGCAACTCTGAAAACTTATTTAAAAAAGATGCAGCCTTGGGAAATAGGGTTTTTATTGGGCGGGGAGGGGGAGGGGGGATTACGGATGAACTATCTCTGCCTATATGTTTAGTTGACACCAACTAGTAAATCCTCCCTTCCCCTTCCCAACATATGTGCTACTCCAGATATGGATACTGTAGGAATAGATGGTTTCAATTAAAAGGGATTTCCATCATTAACTTTTTTTCATGTGCAAGTACAGCCCTCCCACTTCCAAAAACTGGTGTCCAATAAACTTTTGACCCAAATGTAAACCTTAAGCAAAGTATAGTTGAGTAGTATAACAAAAGTGAGCATTCTTAAATCAACCTATAGGTTTGTATATATACTTACAGTGGGTTTAATGTGACAATAGATATTAAAGTTCTAGGCACAGTGTCCGTCATAATAGGCAAACCATATTAACTGACTCAATTAAATTGCTCTTCCCTAATAAATGCCAATGTTAGCACCGATTACACATTTACTGAACCAGGCCTCTATTAGGTACTGGAGTACAAAGCTAAGTGAGACACAGACCTTATTCTTGAGAAGCTCATAGTGCCTTTCCTCACTTGTCCCTGGAATACTGAAACCTTACTCACCCCTGAAGTCGCAGCTCAAACACCCCACCTCCTCTGTAAGGCTGGTTACTCTAGGCGGCACTGCTCATCCTGGGCCCCCACCAGTCACTCTATTCTAACTTGTATTTCACTCTGCTTTTCAGCATGGTTATTTGTATCCCCAAAGGTAACCTCCCTACTAGACTATAACATTTTGTGGGTCAAGGACCCATTTATCTTTGTATACTGCAGAATCTAGCATGGTGGCTGGCCTTTAAAAATCTTAGTATCTTCTCAATCTGGTTTTAAGCACACAGAACCCTTTATTTTTCATTGAAATTTTTATTGTAAATTCACATGTAGTTGTAAAAAATAATGCTGAGAGATCCTTTATACACTTTGCCCAGTTTCCTCCAATGGTAATATTTTATTAAACTAATGCAGATCCCTTTTAAAGTGATAGTTTCAGATTTCATAGTCTTCACTTGACATGAGATCACCACCCATTCATAACTTTCTTTTTTTCTAACATCAATCATGAATAAAAACCAAGTATAAAGTGTGACACCTGGGGTAATTAGTACTGAAAAAATGTTTTCTTCAATTACGTTAAGAATAAAATAAAGATTCTCATTCTTACTACCCACATACAAAATTCCCACTAGCAAATGGCTTTTCTTTTGGGGTTAGCTTAGATCTTAAATTTTCTGTGTAACAGATATCTTTAACTTACAGTATTTGGATTGGTGAGATTCCTTGCATCTGTCAACCAGCTGCTTAAGTGGTTATATGTACTTCTTCTGCAAAAATTAAAATTTACATTTGTGACTGCTGCATACAATTGCCATTTTAGTAGGAAAAAAAGAGACTTCAATAAATATTTAAAATACAGATTTTAATCAACAGATCCTAAAAAAGTATTTTTGCTTTGACTAGACTGTTACCCTAAAGAAAACAGTTGTGGAATGCAAACACATATTTTGCATTTGTCTTTAAATTTTTCAAATTAGAAACCAAAGACAGTCATGCTACCTACAATATGCTGGCATAAAATTCACCTTTCCCGGGAAGGAATTAGATGTACAAACTGCCAACTACAAAAACATTCACGGTATATAAAATACAGCATGGGAAACACAGACATAATATTGTAATAACTGTATGGTGTCAGATGGGTACTTGACATTATCGAGATGATCACTTTGTAAATTATATAAATGATTTCTAATCACTGTGTTGTACACCTGAAACTAATATATTGTATGTCAACTGTAATCGAAAAAAAAAAGTTAAAATCCGCCTTTCCTTAAAGAGAAAGCTAATTATAACAGCATAAAAACTGGCTTTAAAAGGGCACTGAATACATGTGACTAGAAATTCAAGCCCCCAGATATGAGAGAGTGAGTTTATCCTGACTTTGTGCTCTTATTTATCAGCAGCTAAGTCATTTTGGGATTTAAACTGCCCTATTTCTCCACTTTATCCAAGCAAGAATTTAAAAACTCATAGGCTCATTTGCACTAGCCAAGAAGGCTTTGAAGAAGCAAACAAACCCAAATAATTTACAATATTATACAGAGTAAATAATCAGACACTACCAAAGGGGTCAAAATAAAAATTTTGAAAGCTAAAAATGTTTTTGATTTGTACAGATTCACAGAACATTAATCCATCTTACTTATTTAACACGTGAGGAAACAGAAGCCCACAAAGGTTTAAATTCAGAGCCAGGCCTAGGACCTTGATACACATTGGGTCCTCAAAGTGTTTCAAGTTTAGCCTTGTGAAGAGTATATTCCATAAACTCCAGTTGCCAGTGCTCACATGAGACTCAATATTCCAAATATTTAATTCTTTCCTAGTGGGAACTGAAAAGAACTCCTTACTCAGATTCTTTTTACTGTTCCATATCATATACACAAATTAACACTTAATGTCAAAAAAAGTCACATAAATCAAAATAACTTTTCCCAGTGTTTAAAAATTTTTAGGTAAACAATGTTCAAATATATATATTTTTAATCCTCACCTGAGGATATTTTTCTATTTATCTTCAGAGTAGGAGAGAGAGAATGGGAGAGAGAAAGAAACATCAACATGAGAGGGACTGGCTGCCTCCCACATGACCCCGACCAGGGCCAGGGATGAACCGCAACCAAGGTACATGACCTTGGCCGGAATCGAACCCACAACTGACCCGTGCCGACGCTCTACTGCTGAGCCAAACTGGCCAGGGCTCAAATATAATTTTTAAAAAGCACAAGCCTGCCCTGGCCGGTCTGGCTCAGCGGTTAGAGCATCGGCCTGTGGTCCAGAGAGACCCGGGTTCGGTTCCCGCTAAGGGCATGTACCTCAGTAGCAGTTTGTCCCCGGCCCTGGTTGGTCATGCGGGTAGCAGCCACTCGATGTGTCCCTTTCATGTCGCTGTTTCTCTCTTCCTCTCTCTCCCTCCCACTCTATCTGAACAAAACATGGAAAAAAATGTCCTTGGATGAGGATTAAAAAATAAATAAATAAAATAAAAAGTACAAGCCTTATCACTGCTCAGTATTAGTAGTATCAGCATATTTTGCTTTTACACAACAAATATATCTTACTTTGTGCGTAAAACCTTAAATAACACAATCCCAAACTATTTATACAATTTTGATGAATTTTAAAATGTCAAAGCTGGCAGCAAGAATGAATTATAAACTCGCACCACTTTAGTAAACAGAAAAATCAACACATCCTTTGTGTTGTCAAGATCATGAAAACAATATCGTCTACATGTACCATAAATTCTGCTAACTGTTTCATTAATTTAAAATTCACCATCATGCCCGGCAGGTATGGCTCAGTGGATTGAGCACTGTCCCATGGACTGAGAGGTGCCGTGGACTGAGAGGTTCCCGGTTCGATTCCTGGTCAAAGCACATGCCCGGGTTGTGGGCTCGATCCCCAGTAGAAGGTGTGCAAGAGGCAGCCGATCGATGAATCTCTCTCACATCAATGTTTCTACCTTTTTCCCCCTTCCTCTCTCTCTAAAAATTCAACAAAAACATATTTAAAATTCACCATCATAATTTCAAATCTACAAATACAGTATTATCCAATTATTCATTACCTGGTGGTACTAGAGCTAAAAAAATAACCAAAAACAAAACCAAAAGAAGTGCTAAAATATCCCTAATTTTGTCATGGATGTTAAATATATCAAACAATTGATAGAGCCAAACAAACTGCCATGATAAGCTATGCTGTCAATTTAAGAAAATACCCTGTAACAATCAGAGTTAATACCAAGAATAAAAAGCATTATTAAAACAGGGACTTTTAAGTTTTCAAAATGTCAAGGATTAATAGAAAAAAATGGTGGTGGTGGGGGGCAGTGTCATGGTTGCAACATTAATGTCACTATCATTGAGTCAAGACAACACCTATCTAAAGCCTAAAGTACTTTTTACCAGTAAACAGTTTTATTGGGATACAACAAACATACTTATATAAAGCTCAACTTTTTAATGCATATAATGCAGTGGTTTTAAGAATATCCACAAAACTATGCAATGTTCTAATTCTAGAACATTTTCATCACCAAAAAAAAGAAACCCCATATCCATTAGCACTCATTCCCCATCCCCTGGCAAATCACTTTGTCTTTATGCATTGGCCTATTCCGGTTATTTCATACAAATGGAATCATACATGTGGCCTTTCGTTTCTGGCTTCTTTCACTTAGCAAAATGTTTTCTAGGTTCAGCCACTATATAGCATGTATCAATGTTTCTTTCCTTTTAATGGTTGAATTTTATTCCATTGTATGCATATACCACATTTGTTGATCTATCCATTCATCATTTGATGGACATTAGGGTTGTTTACAGCAGAAGTACTTCTGATAACTTAAACAGAGATGCATTTTACCCAAAGTATTTACTATGTTTAAAAGATATGTTTTTTTGTTGTTGTTGTTATTCCTCACCTGAGGATATTTCTTCCACTGATTTTTTTTTTTAGAAAAAGTGGAAAGGAGGGAAGTGGGGTGGAGAGAGGGAAAGAAAGAGAAACACTGACGTGAGAGAGATGCACAGGATCCTGTATGCACCCAGACCAAAGCAGGGAATCAAACCTGCAACCCAGGTATGTGCCCTTGAAATCGAACCCGAGACCCTTCGGTCTAAGGGCCGGTATTCTAACCCAGTGGTTCTCAACCTTCCTAATGCCGTGACCCTTTAATACAGTTTCTCATGTGGTGACCCCCAACCATAAAATTATTTTCGTTGCTACTTCATAACTGTAATTTTGCTACTGTTATGAATCACCATCGGAAATATGTGTTTTCCGGTGGTCTTAGGCGACCCCTGTGAAAGGGTCGTTCGACCCCCAAAGGGGTCGCGACCCACGGGTTGAGAACCGCTGCTCTAACCACTGAATAAAACTGGCCAGGGCTAAAAGATATGTTTAATCATCACACTGTATACTTTAAACTTATACAAAGTTGTATTACTTATATGTCAATAAAGCTGGGAAGAAGAAAAAGACACACCAAAAAGGAAAAACAAACTACAACTCTATACTATACTATAAGCACACATTCACCATATTTATATTTTATTAATTCATGGAGTTTTTAATAATGTGACGTTTTCGGGAATGCATCACTCATAAAAAGATGTCCTATACAGATGGCCAGATTTTTAAGTAGTCTTCCCATAAAACTATTTACTGATCACTGCCTGGCTATATGAAGAGCATTAAGACTGTTTCACTCTGTTTCAACCCCGAAATAATCCAATTCTAGGGAATAGCATAAAGCATTTCCCAAAGGGAAATATGCTTGAAAGTCTATTACTTGGTCCCACTCACTCGTTTCTACCCTGCACAAAAGTCAGAGTCACAATGCTTTAGTAGACTGACACTTTGCATTAATGTGAAAGGTGATCCAGTTCATTTTCCAACTTACAGTAGACAAACAACAGAGTTTAATGAAGTGGCACACTTTTCCATGTTTTGCAAAGTCAAACATTTATGGTCCAGTTTTGTTACTTTGTATAAAGTGCTTTGAGTTTCCAGAAATAATCGAGTTGCAATAAATTTAATCTCACCGCCTAAAGTACTTTAAACCACTTCAGTCCATTTTAGGACAAAAAAGAATTTAATTAAATACTCAAACACCTTCAGATGCAAGCATTAAGAACTTTTTATAATCTACTATGTTGGATTAGCAAAACTAAATTTCTTGATTGGCCTTATTTTGAAAGGTGTACACTTGAACACTAGAGACTGAATAGAGTAATTCCTCAAGACTTGCTTGCTTTCTACTGAAGCGAAAAGTACAAAGTCTGGTATAAAATATTATTTCACCTCAAATAATTCAAATGATGCTGCTTTTCAGAAGTATTCTTCTGTCAGCTCCACCAGCATCTCCTAAAGTTTTTCTTCAGTCATACCCACTTTCAGAAAAGGAAATCAACACGTTATGTCAAGTCTTACGCAGCAATTTAGAGAAGAAATCATGAAACCCAAATAAGCACATTTACAATTACAAACTAAGGAATGCTTAAATCAATAATAATAATAATAAAAACCATATTGCCTAAAGTAGATTTTTTTCTAGTGGGAAAGTTAAAAAATTATTAATCTCTTACCTAGTGATATCATACACCATAAGCGCTCCTGCAGCTCCTCTGTAGTAGCTTCGTGTAACAGCCCTAAACCTCTCCTGTCCTGCTGTATCCCATATCTGCAGTTTGATTTTTTGGCCACTAACTTCAATTATTCTTGTACCAAATTCAACACCAATTGTGTGAGGACAATCAGCCATAACTGTTAGGGAGAAAAAGAAATATATATAATATTCCAACTTCAAAAAAGCTGCAAATGAAGGCCAGTGGCAGGGTCCACTGGATAATCAAACGACTTAGTAATGCTTATAGGTTATAAAACAGACTAAAGCTAGCACATTAAAAAAAAAAAAAAAAGCCCAGAAGTAAGAAGTCACAGAACAGTGGTCAGCAAACTTCTGTAAAGGACCAAATAATACTTTAAGTCTGAAGGCCAAAAGGTCTGTCACAACTATTCAACTCTGTTGCTGAAACACAAAAGCAGCCATAAACAATGCATAAAATGGGCACTAACTGTGCTCCAGCAGAACTGTACAAAAACAGCGACTAAATTTGGCCTAAAAGCTCGTTTGCTGACCCCTGAACTAAAATAATCTGCTAATTAAAAATAAGATTGTAATAAACTCTCCACTAATACCAATGTTACACTCTTTATCCTTTGACAATCCTTACATGCAACAAATTAATCAAGAGCTATTAGTCAACCAAATTTTTATCCTGAAAATGCTATCAATACCTTAAAGAAAATCATCACATTTAACATATATTTATAGCAATATACTGGCAAGTTATATATGCCTATTCCAACAGAACAAATGTATTAGTCCTTTCCTTATAGTTAGGCCACTGGAAACCTAAACCCACTATTCTCTGATACAAGTACACACAGACCACTGGACACTTCATAAAATATTATATTAAGCTAAAAAAAAAAAGCCATAGAAATAATTTTCAACTACATGGAAACAATTTCAACTGTATTAGCCTATCAGCTGCATAAAATAAAATGGCCCCTTCCTCTACCACCCAAGACAGAGTTGTACTTTGAATCTTAAGTCATGAATGCAGATGGGATTGCATTTTAAATATTTCCAATCCATTATTATAGAGTTAACAAATGATACATGCAGCAAATTTCCCCTAACGAGATAATTTCCATAATACAAAGTCAGAAAATAAAAAGATTTAAATATGACATCACAGTATACATTTTTAAAAGTTTTACCATCAAAAAATCTAAAGTGAATCAAATTATATATGACATACAAAAATCAACACTGCATATGTGGGTATATTTCATTTTATCTGCACCTATTTAAAAACAGAATCACTCCCTAAACACAGAAGTGCATATATAGGGAAAGGTTATGTTTAAATGCACAGAGTACACTGAAAATGACACTTTAAAAAAAAATAGGAAAGTGACAATAAAAAATTTACTAATAGTTTACCTTATATTTTAAACTTACATTTTTTTTCTGTAAATTGATGAAGCAAGCAAGATTTTCCTACACCCATGTCCCCTATTAAAAAAAAAAAAGTTTTCAGTGACAATTACATTTCTCAATTTCACACTCTTATAATTATATGCAATGACTGCAATATCCCTTACAATATCACAAATTTCTGGGACACTTAGAAAAGCTGTATTTCCCTAATTTATAATGAGTTCAAAAGATACTACAGGTCAGTTTTCACTGTGATGTATAAATTCACTATTCCCAACTTTCAGCAGTAATAGAATTTGATTATAAATTATGTTAATAGCCACCAGTTGCAAAGTGCTTTTTCAACAGAGAAATTGCTGTAATCGTGTTTTTTACTTTGAGCTGTTTCAAAGTTTTATATTGTTTTTTCCCTTAACCATACATAAAAACAAAAGACTCCTAGGAGTGACAAATAGGGCAGCAGCATATAACAAGCAGAAATAAGTATTAGAAGCCTGATTCACTAGATCTTATCTCATATTTTATTTTTGCATAATTCCACAAATGAAAAGAATGTACACTACATGAAAATCATTAACAGAACAGTGTCATCTCTGTACTACAGTAATTTAACCTTTGGTGAAGGAAGCATTATAATATAGTCACATAAGCTCAATATTAAACTAAACTGTTCTCATGTGAAGAATTAACTGAGAAGTATATGTACTTTTCATTTGTGCTCTTACAACTATACTTGGATAAACTGCATTGTCTTTTAATTTGAGTAAAATCTTGCAACTTAAGGAAAAAACTACCAATATTATATTTTATGTATATTACGTAATTATTCTGAATCCAGCATTTCTATCAATTTTTGGAATCCAGAGGCTGAGGGCTTTCATGATATTTTTGTAATGTATCAGCACTCCTAGGAAATTAATTTCATTCCCAGTATTAACAAGTTTTCAGGAAGCCCTTAAGAACAACCAACATCACTTCAAAGGTACCCCACATTGTTCTATAAAAGTATTCAGAGTCACAGCGTGAAAGGTATATTGTTAATGCAAAACTAATCTTCTCAAAGGAGCTTTAATTTTGCACTGAGATAATTATCCACTTCTTCTGGAGTGGTATGTCAAATATTAGTATGTAAGTATTTTTTATATTAACCTTCTTTGGAAAACAAGAATGTATGGGAAATGAACTTACCAATAATAATATATTTAAAGATGTAAGAGTAGTTGTATGGTGCAGTTGCCATGGTGGCACTAAAAACAAAGAAAACTATGTTACTTCAGTAGAAAAATGTACACAAGTTATCCAAGCTGATAACTCCTATCCTTTAAAGGTATATAAAATAAAGTAGAGTGATTATAAACAAAATGCTGGTTACAGTTAAGCTGGAATAAAACTGCATTTCCCAAATTGATCAAATGCACAAATTTTCATGAATGAACACTGCTTTAACATTCTCATGTATTATCCACGGAAATGTAAGAAACCATTTATATCAAAACAACTCCAACATTTCATATTAAGAAATATACAATAACAAATATTACTCTGGAAAATGTTAAACAAGGAAATCTTTATAAATTTGAGTTAAACGTCATTATAAATAGTCTTCCCCACTTAAGGTACCATCCCTATAAACTGGTCAAGTGAAGACCTGATAGCCTACTTGTTCAAAACTGATTTTAACAATAGAAAGTGTTTGCAAAAGAAACTAGTAGCTTACAAACACAATGTAACTTTTTTATTCCACTTAAGTCAATGATTAGCATAGCATCCAAAGAAAGAACAATAATTATTTTCAAACCAAATTAATGCCAGATTTAAAGAGAACCACATGAAACTCTTATTCTCGTAATGTTGTTTAAAGTCAATCAATGGCCTGGCTGGTGTGACTCAGTGGTTGCGCATTGGCCCATGCACTAAGAGGTCACTGGTTCAATTAGCGGTCAGGGCATATGCCCAGGCTGTGGGCCCAATCCCCAGTGGGGGGCATGCAGGAGATGGCCAATTGATGTTCTCTCTCATCGATGTTTCTGTCTCTCTCTCCCTCTCCTTTCCTCTCTCTTTAAAAACAATAAACAAAAAAAATTTTTAAGTCATTCAATGGTAATTTCATATGGTTCAAACAAACGTAGGATTTGAAGATTTACAATATATCAAATGTCTGCTATGTGTACTACTTTAGCAGCTGAGAGAAATAATGGCATAAAATACTACCTGTGATTGTAAAACTTGAAAGTTTATGTATTAGAATATATTTCAAAAGATCACAGCCTACTCCTTAACTTCAGATAGATTTAACCTAAAGAATTCTAATTTCTCTCCTACTTTTAATAACTTAAACAACTCTCCAATTTTTTTCAAATGAATGCCTTATCAGACATTGCTAGGTGCTAGAGAAGAGGTGAATTCTAATTCTGGTAATAACTTCCAATATAATTATTCTCAAACCAGTTTTCAGTTTAAGCAAAGACAAAAATTCTTTATATATATATGATTTAATTTTCATTAAAAAAATTTTGATTTCCAGTAATTTTTTTAAATGTTTTTTTTTGTGTTTTTTTTTTTACTGTTTTGGCCAACTGTCACATTATACAAGCTATAGACTTGGTATGAATGGAATAATTCATTTACTGAAATTAACACCTTCCTATGTATCATATTTCAAATAAAATTTCCATATAACTAATAAAATATAACCCATAGAAAAAGTACATATGTAAAATAAGTGAATTATTGTTATCAAGGAAGGAGAAATTACAAATTACTGGACAATCATTTCACACAATATAGCCTCCTTTCTTAGTTGTATGAATTACATTCAAGAGGAGTGGATACCCTGTTATCCATTCCAACTTGACTTGAAACACATTTATAATCAGTCTTTGACATCACAGAAAACTCCCTTTCAGGAAAGGGTTTTATTTTCTAGTCATCACTCTAATTCCCTTTTTCTAGACATTGGGGAATCAAAAGATTTAAAAATGGCCCTGGCCGGTTGCTCAGTGGTTAGAGCATTGGCCTGTGGTCCAGAGAGACATGGGTTCAGTTCCCGCTAAGGGCACGTACCTCGGTTGCAGTTTGTCCCCGGCCCTGGTTGGGTTGTGCGGGTGGCAACTACTCGATGTGTCCCTTACATGTCAATGTTTCTCTCCACCCCCGCCCCACCTACTCTATCTGAACAAAAAGTGAAAAAATGTCCTCGGGTGAGGATTAAAAAAAAAAACATTTAAAAATGAACTTGGTCCTGAGGCAAAAAGTGATCTGAATTATTCACTAGATCTCTGAATCAGATTCCAAATATAAGAAAAAAAAAAAAAACTCTCACAATTAAAGTAATACTTAAAGTAGTTATAACGTCTTAACTAGCACTCCTCCCAGACTCTTTTCTTCTAATTAATTTTTAACTCTTCTTTCCCCAAACTTGGGCAAAAACAAGAATTTAGTAACCTTTAAATTACTGTTTCTCTCATGTTCTTCCCCTTCTGACTTTCCTATTTATTTTCCCTGTTCTTACTGAAAGTTGTAGCTGTACATACTTTGCTTCCTTCCATTTTATGATGCTATGGCCTCTAATAATATCCATTAGTACTTGAAATGCTCTAAAGGCTAATCATGAAATTACAACCCAATTCTAGTCATACTAATTTATATACTTGCTAATTATCACACAGCATTCATTAAATATCTACTCAGATGACTAATTTTGAAAATATATTTAAAAATGACCAAGCATTAATTGCTATCCACTATTTCCACATAAAAGACAGTAATCAGTATTTCAGGTCAAATACCAGTGACCTGTCTCTACTTCACCATACAATTTCCTACTTTAAGTTTCTTAAAAATTACAAATAAAAACTCTAAAAGCAGAGCTAAAGAAAAACTACTCAAATTTACTAATTTCAGTAGATAAGGAAGGCAGAAAATATCTAGCACTGCAGCCTTGAATATAACAAACAGGTTGATCCTCCCTTTCTTACTCTAAGGTAAGATACTAGCTAGGTTTAAATATACTTCTATACAAATTGGATCCAGCAATACATCAAATAAAATTTTGAACCCTGACCAACTGGGACTCATCCCAGGGATGCAAGGCTGGTACAATATTCGCAAATCAATAAACGTGATACACCACATGAACAAAATGAAGAATAAAAACTACATGATCATATCACTAGATGCTGAAAAAGCATTCGACAATATCCAGCACCCATTTCTGATAAAAACGCTCAGCAATATGGGAACAGAGGGATCATATCTCAACATAATAAAGGCCATATATGAAAGACCTACAGCCAACATCATACTCAATGGGCAAAAACTAAAACAATTTCCCTTAAGAACAGGAACAAGACAGGGATGACCACTCTTGACACTCTTATTTAACATAATACTGGAAGTCTTAGCCACAGCAATCAGACATGAAGAAAAAATAAAAGGAATCCAAATTGAAGAGGAGGAAGTGAAACTGTCATTATTTGCAGATGACATGATATTATACACAGAAAACCCTAAAGACTCCATAAAAAATCTACTAGACTTAATAAATGAATTTGGCAAAGTAGCAGGATACAAAATTAACGTCAAGAAATCGATGGCATTCTTACACATCAATGATGAACTCACAGAAGGAGAAACTAAGAAAACAATCCCATTTACCATTGCAACAAAAAAATTAAGATACCTAGGAATAAACTTAACCAAAGAAATAAAGGACCTATTCGCAGAAAACTACAGGTCATTGAAAAGAGAAATAGAGGAAGATATATAAAGTGGAAGCACATACCTTGTTCATGGATTGGAAGAATTAACATCATTAAAATGTCCACACTACCCAAAGCAATCTATAGATTCAATGCAATCCCCATCAAAATACCAATGACATACTTCACAAAACTAGAACAAATACTTCAAAAGTTCATATGGAACCAAAAAAGACCTCAAATAGCCACAGCAATCTTGAAAAAGACGGACAAAGTTGGAGGGATCACATTACCAGATTTCAGGTTATACTACAAAGCCACTGTAATCAAAACAGCCTGGTACTGGCACAAAAACAGGCATATAGACCAGTGGAACAGAACAGAGAACCCAGAAATGGACCCAAGGCAATATGTTCAATTAATATTTGACAAAGGTGGCAAGAGCATACAGTGGAGTAAAGATAGCCTCTTTAATAAATGGTGTTGGGAAAATTGGACAGCTACATGCAAAAAAAATGAAACTAGACCATCAACTTACACCATGCACAAAAATAAACTCAAAATAGATAAAAGACTTAAACGTGACCCATGAATCCATAAAAATCCTAGAAGAAACTATAGGCAACAAAATTTCAGATATCATACGCACCAGAATTTTCACTGATACATCCCCTAAGGCAACAGAAACAAAGGAGAAAATGAACACATGGGACTACATCAAACTAAAAAGCTTCTGCACAGCAAAAGATACAATCATCAAAATGGAAAGGCAACCCACTGTATGGGAGAGCATAATTGCCAATGATATAGCAGATAAGGAGTTAATTTCCAATATATATAGAGTGCTCATACAACTCAACAAAAGGAAGGCAATGAACCCAATTAAAAAAGGGCAGAGGAGCTAAATAGACACCTCTCCAAACAGGACATACAAAGAAATGTATGGCCAGGAGACATGAAGAAATGTTCAACATCACAAATCATCAGAGAGATGCAAATTCAAACAACAATGAGGTATCACCTCACACCTGTCAGAATGCACCATCAACAAATCATCAAACAACAAGTGTTGGCGAGGGTGTGGACAAAAGGGGACTCTAGTACACTGCTGGTGGGAATGCAGACTGGTGCAGCCACTATGGAAAACACTATGGTGTTACCTCAAAAAATTAAAAATGGAACTGCCATTTGACCCAGTGATCCCACTTCTAGGAATATACCCTAAGAAGCCTGAAACACCAATCAGAAATAATATATGTATCCCCATTTTTATAGCAGCACTATTTACAACAGCTAAGATCTGGAAACAGCCAAAGTGTTCATCAGTAGATGAATGGATAAAAAAGTTGTGGTACATATACACAATGGAGTACTATGCAGCTGTAAGAAGAAAGATCTCTTAACCTTTGAGACGACATGGAGGGACCTAGAGAGTATTATGCTAAGCGAAACAAGCCAAACAGAGAAAGACAAATATCACATGATCTCACTTATTTGTGAAATATAATGTACATAACAGTCTGAGGAATTGGGAGACCCAGAGATGTGGAAGTGGGGTAC